GTGTAGAAGTAAGCAGTTCAGGCAATGTCTCTTAAAAAGCAAGCAGCATTAGTGAAGGAACTCCAGCGAGCTGTAAGAGAAGAGAAAAAACGTGCCGAGTCTATGGAAAAACATGGTATGAGCTCTCCTGAAGAGCGTGGATGGCATTTGGTGTCTGATCCCGATTCAAGGAGTGGCCAGGTATTTTTTTGTGGTCATATTGTTTACATTTTCTCTGCTAAGATTGATCCTAGACTCCTGTAGAAAATTTAGAATTTGGTATTAGTTTTCTTGCTGTAATTCAAATAGGTTTTCATCAACCGTTAATTTCTTATTTGGACGTAAATTCTATGTTATATTCTAAATGAACGACCTCAGTATAGTAGAATTTTGGATTTCACTCGAAATTGTCTGCAGGTTGTGGGGTTATTGACATACTAATCGTGGAAACATTTTTATTTCGTTTGAATTTTACGCGCGATCAATAGGTAGAAGGGCCAAAATTACAAAAATGGCGAATGTAGTTTATAGGGGGTTGCCTTGCTTGTCAAAACCATTTGCAACAGCGCGCCTTACTGGAACTCACGATAAAAATGTGACGTTAACCCATTGATACGCATTACATCGACGTGTCTGGCGCATGGAACCAATGCGTTTTGTTGTGAATTCTTCATTGACCACTGCTTTTACTAGTTTTGTTTGGAAGTAAATCACTTGCTCATCTGCTATATTGAAAATATCTACAAAAGCTCCAAATGGAGCAACAGCAGTATCTACGAGAATGCCATACCTTAGTTATAATGATCAGCATGTTAAATAACCCACGCTATATCAGTTTGAAGTGATCCGTCTATGTGACGACTATTGTCTACCCTCCCCTTATAGTAAAACCCCACCATACGGATTGGATACGAAATCAAAATTAGCATGCCGGATCATATGGGATGAAGGAGTGATCTAGTGGTTCAGGGGTCAATAATGTGGAATAGCACCAAATTTTTCTTATTGCATCTGATTTGTTTTACGAACAGGAAAGTGCTTGTAAAATTGTCTTGCACTTCTCTCCCCGTATAACTCTGTTGAGTGGTCTTTTTCAGTCTCAAAGGTGCGGTGTTTCGACGTCGTCTTATTCTTCAGATGCCTAGAATGATTCAAAGTATCAGTTGTTGACAGATATCACTTCCTCTCACCCTGCGTTCTCAAATTTCTCCCAGTCTTGCTGCTACAAAATTGTCAGGGCAGCAAATGATTTTACCCCGAAAACACCGCTCTGCAAGAGAGGTCCGCGCCGGAAGTGAGAGCGGTCGTGGCCGACGAATAAGCCATTTTGTGGAGTGCGCAACAGGTGTGATCCACAAGCTACAGCTTGGATAGCATTGCGAACGGCTTATTTGCTGTGATGGAGAATCACTGATTCTTTGCAGAGATCCAGAATGCTTTTATTACTTTCCTAGCCAAAATCTCTTTTCTCCTAACCTCTGAAGAAGACGAAGGCGTCGAAACGTTTGGCTCTTGGGACTGAATAGAGACCACCTAACAGACCAAGACCCAGAAGTACAAAGCAGTTCTACGCGGTGCCCATGTTTGGAGAAAACGGATTATGGAATATCACAGTTGATCACAAAGTAGTGTGTGCTGTTGAAGGCTAATTATCAGTTTTGTTTTTTCTTTTATATCTCCCTTTTTTGTTTGTTTGCATCATAAGGGTCTTGATTAACTGTAGTTTAACAGGATCTTGCAACTGCTGTGAATTCTTATGATTTAGTAATGCTTAAATAACATCCAATTCCTCGTTTTTCATTTTTCTCTTTAATTATTTTCCTGACTCTTCATATGGGGGTGGCGTGGTGAGAGGTGTTCAAATCTTGTGCAAAACTTTTTCACGCGCATTGCCATGGTCACTTGTGACTTCTCCTACCCCCCTCTCTCTCTTCTCTCTGTTCCCTAGGTTCTACGACTATTGCTTCAAATTTGTTATACAATGAAGTTCAGACGTTGGATGGTGCTGATAGTCGTAGCGTGTCATCAGTGAGTGCTCTAGAATCGGACAATGCCGAATTAATAAACAGACTGACTGCCTTGCAAAAGACACATGCAGATGCGATGGATAGAGTATGTTTGGTCCAAAGTTAACTCTGAAATCTGCCTTTGGATGTTGTAAAAATGGATTCCTTTTTTAAGATAAATCTGCTCGAAGTTGAGAATCTACGTTTAAATCGTGAAATTGAGGAAAAGAGGGAGCTGATTGAGCACTGGATAAGAAAACGTCCTCTTGGTCAGGGCTCCGGAGCATATACACCTAGCAAACCGGAAGGTGAGGTTATTACTACGATAGAACCTATGGGTTCTATGTGATATGGTCTGCTTTTCTATCTGAGTTTCGTTATGACCGATAAATTTGTTAGGAAGCTTGCGAAGATTTCTTACAACAACGTTGACTGGTGACGATGCAACTAACGATGTTAGGGAAATGAACAGGAAGTTGCAACGAATGTTGGAGGAGACATTGTCCAAAAACATCATTCTTCAACGGGTGCGTATCTTCCACTTTTCACATCATTGTGTAGTAAAATGGTTTTGCTCCGCAAGTTATTTGATTCTGTTTCTTCTTGACTGAAATCAGATTTAAAAGCTGCTTTTCTTGTTGGCTAGTTTTTGTCACTTTCATACTAGGTAAAAAGGGAAGGGAGGAAGGGAGAAGAGGAATTTGAAAAAAATTTTGCCTTTCATATCTCTAGCTTTTTGTGCCCATTTTGAGTGATGTGGTGGCTTAACTTAGGGTGTAAATTTAATGTATCTTTTTCAAATTGGAGTCAGTCATTTTTTAAGAAGCAAAAGGTTCTTTGCACTTTATGTAAGCGGAATCCACCCCTACATATGCTCTTATCTAACGTTATGCGAGATATAGCTGGTATTATAAGCAAAAATTTCAAGTATGAGATTTTGAAATTTGAACCAGGAATTCTTCTGTTTTTATCTTTTTTTTTTCTGTGAAGGGTGGGACTAGAAGGATGCAGGTTACAGCACGTTCGTAGTGTTTTCTTCAACTTGCAGTGCAAGAAAGTCAACAGGGCTGTCTTAACGTGCGTGTTAAATTTACTAATCCAACATCTGAAGGTTGATTACTCTGGGCGCATTCTTGACTGCTTTGCAATTGTGGGTCATTGATGCAGATTTAGATCTACAGGGCTAATGTTTACGCTTAACGCTCCTTCCTCCATTAAAAATTGGTTAGGTTGAAATTACCTC